AAATAAAACAAACATACATTGTGACAAATTTTATTTTTAATTAATTTTAAAAATGTATATTTTAATTAATTCCCGTCTGAGGACATGTAATTGTGTTTCCCAGGAATTCCCGTTTTTAAAAAATTGCGAGAACTCTCGTAGGTTAAAACATTTCTATATTTGTCGAAATCCGAATGGGCATTTGTAGAGTCGATTTCGTATTAATTATCTACTTGTATTTGTCAAGGTACTAGTAGGACATTTTTTTTATTTTTAAATTGTAAACAGTCGGCTGTAGTGGTTGTATCTCCCACTCCGGATTGCCAGTCTTCAAGCTTGCCTAGGAAAAAGCATAAATTAGGTGAAAACTGATATTTGTCCTTTTCTGTCCCCGATCAGCAACGACTCTGTGAAGTTTTCTAATAGTGACCGTGCCATTAATATTGTGGTAAACAATTCCCATTTTTTCAAATTCGGATTCAAGCAAATGTGCAATATTGCTCGCGTTTGTGATAAACTAGCAATATGAGTAACATACTCAAACATATTTTTGTAATTATTAAGTTTAACTGAAAAAAGCTGTCGTAACACATTTAACCTGCCAATAAGCCTACGATCTTCCAATGTTTTTGACAAAATATACCATGCTTTCTTGTAACTGGCAGCAGATTCTACATGAGAATATATATGTGGTTTAGTGAGAAAAACTTTTTTCGCTAAAGCTAGTTCATCTAATTCGACTTTATCTTTATCATTTTTCGATTCTTCTACGACTTTTCATAATTTTTCTTGTTTGAGGTAATATTTCATTGCAAAACTCCAGGTCTGCCAGTTGGAAACACCTTCCAACTTCTCAATGAGCGCTACTCATTTTTCTCTATTATATGGATGGCAAATATGTTTAAAATAACGTTTTAACTGTAATTATTTGTCTCCTGGGCCCATAAACTGTTAAATATACAGGAGAATAAATATTATAAGTGACGTTAAGAAACATTTATTGACAAATTACATGATTAAGTATATATAACAGAGACTTAGTATATAGAGAGAATGAATTACATAATATAAATGCATATGAACAACAGAATGGATAAATGGTTCAGGTTAGTTGCTAAAGAGTTTGTACAGAGATATGGTGTAGACTATGAAGAAACTTTTACCCCAGTAGTAAGACATGAAGTACTAAGATTGAGGTCCTACAGCAAAGTATAGACCATATATATGTACAAACAAATTTTCTAAATGGCGTACTTACCAAAACCGTTTATATGCAATATTCTGAAACCTTTGTACAACCTAATTCAGTACATAAAGTATGTCTTTTAAAGAAAGCTATATACGGTTTAAAATAGGCTTCCAGAATGTGGAATATTAAAGTACATATTATACTATTTGAACTAGGTTGAAAACAAGTAATTACGAGCCTTTTGTTTACCATTTCTGAAAAAACGATATTTTTTCACTGTATGTGGATGATTTCTTTCTATTTTGTAATAATAAGGAAGAAAAGTTAACCATTAGGTCAAAGCTAATATTACTTTTGAAAATGAAGGATCTTGGTAGGACTGAATACTGTTTAGATATAAGAATTTCCTACCATAATTCGAATTCAGTTAAAAGAATAAAACTTGACCAAACTCACTAAGTCCATGACCGTTTGAAGAAATTTAAAATGGATCAGTGTAAACCCATTCGCACTGCAATGGAATCAAATTTAAAATTAGTAAAATTTCATGGGGAATTACCTAATGTTTTTTATCAAAGTCTAATTGGAAGTCTCATGTATTTATCCATTTGCACTAAACCAGACATTTTATTCGCTGTAAATTATTTAAGCAGGTTTAATAACAATTTTAGTATAGCATATTGGAATCGTGCAAAAAATCCTTCGCTATCTAAAGGATTCAGCGGATCAAGGTTTAGTTTACACATCTAGTGGCTGTGATTTTACAGGCTTTACAGATGCAGATTGGGGATCTAATGCAGAAGATAGGAAATCTTTAAGTGGTTACAGGTTTATGTTTGCTGGAAGCTCAATATCTTGATGAAGCAAAAAGCTGTCTTTTGTTGCTACGTCTAGTTTTCAAGCAGAATATGTTGCGTTATCAAATGGATTGAAAGAAACCTTATTTCTTAGATGGGTTCTATCAGAACTATATAAAGTTGTTTACTCTGATAGTCAGAGTGCTATAAAATTGATTATTAATCTTGTATATAACTCACGGACTAAATATATTCATATTAGACATCAATATGTTCGAGAAGTTGTTCCTAAAGGAGAAGATCAAATTAAGTAGATGCCTACAGATAAAATAGTTGCTGATATTTTTACAAAATCCCAAAGTAGAATTAAATTTGAAAACTGCAAGAGAAGTCTTGGTATGACTACAGAGTCTGGGTCACTGTCTTAAGTTGATGTGTTGTTCATATGCATCTATATTATATAACACTGGGTTATTCTCTCTAGATACTTAATCAAATAAATTATTCTCCTGCATATTTAACAGTATTTGCAAAACCTTTAGCTTGTATATTAAAGTTTTTCTTTAAAACCGCTAGATAAATATGATCTAGATCTTATTGACCATAATCTAATAATCATAAATACTTCACTCTGGATATTTATTAAAAACAAAAAAAAAATCAGGAATAATAATTTTCCACCACTCTAGGTACGCCACTGTCGTTATCCCCTTATCAATGTCGATGGAGCAGTGGCACTTCCTACAAGATTTCGTCCAATATCCGACTGATTAAGATAAATGGGCTTTCTATTTAGTAGCTGGAACAAATGCTGTTTTACCGTGGCGGTGCTATAGATGTAAATTTCAAATAATTGATGAAAATTGCTCTCTAATTGAATGCATTCTGATTAGGACCGAACATAGCATGGGGTTGGGATAGTCAGTTGTTGTTTCTACTTTTACATTACTTTCATTGATATTGATGGTGGATAACGAGGTACCTAATGGTTGAGCGTTAACCAAATTCTGGACAGTAACGGTACAATATTATTAATATATTCTTTGCTCATATAAATATTATCTTAGGGTTGAACTTTTAGTCAAAATAAAACTAAAAGAAACTTATATTGGGGATTAAGTCTATGGCTCTAGAAAAGAAAATATGTAAAAATGCTGTGTAATAAAGGTCTCTAAATAAATAGAGGATCTAAATAGGGGTAAATACTGTTGTTTCCATTATAGTAACCGGTAGGTCTCTGTCACCAATGTAACACCTGCTGTGTCTTTAACTAGTTAGTCTTTAACTAATTTAGATCGATATAACCAATGTACTGCAGCAAGTATTCCCTACCTATGACAAATAAATAAAATAAAAAACAATTTTCTTCAAGATGCAGAAATACGCATGACGCATATAACTGAAAACTGCTTTTTACAATAATTATTAACAATGACTATATCAAAAGATTAAAATCAATGTCATCCACTCTGTTTCCACTTACACAAACACACACTAAAGTAGGTACTATTAAGGATAGGGCACCAACCTTAGGGTCCTGGAGTCCTGAAGAAACATCCATAAATCTCTGGCAACAAAAATAATAAAAGAATAAAAATAAGAAAAACAAAATAATCCCTAATAGCAGACTTAAGCGGTTTTTTGCCCTTTATATTCTTTTTATAAATTGTAATATAAAAAATATATATACATATTTTTTTGTAGTTCACTTGTTTCTAATTAAATTGCGCAATAACTAATTTAAAAAGAAAAATTTAATGTTTATTGTATTTACATTGTTTACTATCTACAAATTATATTTATTTCTGTATAATTGGTCAAATAAATAAATGAGATAAATATTTTATTTTATTAAATACATTACAAAAATACGTACGTCTATGGTTTAATACTTTCGAAGGTCACATTTTTTTTTATTCTTCAAACGAAGTATAGTCAAGAAGTCTGGTCAAGGTCTAATCATATATTTGATTTTGAACTTTCGTAAAAGACTCTTTTCAACGATTCTAATCAATTAGCACTACCCTATAATAAATAATTTTTGTCAAAGTGTTTTTTTTAATAACCATCGTCAAAGACTCTAATGAATGACACTGGATATTAACTGTAGTGTAGAATTTTAGGAAATGATTCTAGTAAAGCATTCTAATCAAAGATTCTTATCAAGGAGTCTGTTTAAAGGTTCTTGTCAAGGATTCTTACCAAAAACTATAATCTAATGGCGGTTTTCCACTAAACGGACAAAACAGGAACAAAACAGAAACTCGTGTCGAAAAAAACAAAACTACAACTTTTCGCAAACTGTTTGAAGACTGGCGTGTTTTGGGGCAGTTGGAGTTTTGTTTCTCGAGTCCCGCTCGAAAGCGATAACATCAAAAGGTTTCGACGTGTTTACTGGAAATAGTCGTGTTGTGTAGTCTAAATTTTGAATCAAATTGCTAAGTACATAACGTATTTTTTTTATAGATATGTAATTATTAATAAGTAATTTATTTTTAAATGCTGAATAAATTTATATAAGTATGTTTATTAGTAGAGAATATATCTGTAAGTCAAAGCCAGACTAGGTTAAGTCCAAATAATGTACTTTTTAGGATTTTATGATGTCACATACATCTTTTAAACTACTTTTAAAATCATTTTGAAATTGTACCTATCTTAAAAAATAAATAGGTATTACAAATATAAATAAAGTATTGAAAAAATGTAGTCCGCTTGATGGAAACAAGAGTTTTGGGTTTGTCTCAGTTTTATTTTTGTTTTTCAAGTCCCAGAAAACACAAAACATAAACTCAACTGTCTGTTTAGTGGAAAATCGTCTTAAGAATCTAGTCATGGACTCTAGTCGGGACTCTAGCCAACGACTCTAGTCAAGGGCTCTAGTCTAGGACTCTAGGCAAGGGCTTTAGTCTAGGACTCTTGTCAAGGGCTCTAGTCAAGGACTAAATTCAAGAATTCCAGTTAAGAATTGTAGTTAGTGACTGTAGTCAGTATAGTCAAACAGTAAGTAATTTTATGAATTTTTCTTCTTTCAGAAATATGATTACCTAAATCTCACTGAGGCATACGAGTGTCTTCTAAACAAGAAACCCAGCAGCGAAGGAAATGTGCCATTTTTAACTGGCGGTAAAAGAAAAGGATTTTTCGATATTCTTCCTACCCCACGTGAGTATGTGCTGCTGGCTGCTTAATTAATAATTTAAATCCTTTAATATCCCTAACCAAATTTATTAAAATTATTAATTGATTGAGTATCTTAAAATAAAAATAGTACCAACAAAATTTGCTGTTTTTAGCTTCAACGAAATACTGCTACAAGCCTCCTTTACCCTGCAAAGGATATTACTTGCCAAATGCGGAGCGATTTCCTGAGGATAAGAATAATTATCCAGGACCTGGAGCTTACCTGGTAAGTTTTTAAAAAAATTTAATTTATAATATAAAAAATGAAGTATATGAACAAAAAAGATTACGTAAAATTGTTTAAATATAACTTGTGCATGATTACGGGCCCTAGACCCAGGATCAGAGATTCCCCACTATTTTGCAGTCGCGTTCTACATTATAATTGCATGGTTAATTCCCACCAATACTCTTTTTACTATACTTTATTTATTAAATTATTTTAACTAAAAATGACAAAAAACTAAAATTAGGATCTATGTAAATCGTAGTCACTGGCTACAAACTAAGACACTATACTGCGAGATACACTGAGAATGTAGTGTGAAGTTCAATAATAAATATTAAACAATACATTTTAAAATACAAATTTATAAGTTAACAAATAAACAAATTTTACGCAATAGATAAGTCATTGTAAGTCATCATCGAGGTCTGAAATCTCACTATCAGAACTATCGCCAGAATTTACTCTTATAATGAATTCATCATCGTTGTCTTAGAGATTATCAGTGACCCACATTTTCTCTGATAACGCAATTATGCCAATTTTATTCAGTAACATGTTTAAATGCTTCATCTATCAATAAACGATTATCTTGTGTCTTGAAATCAGAGTTATTCATATCAATATAGCGCTTTTCCTGATTCTATACCATCTCGATTGTGTTAAGCTCGCAATGATACAGTAAAAATCGTAAAACAGTTACCCCGTATGTTGCAACTATTTCTCCAATCTAATATTTGTTGTATTACTCTCTGTACGCGTTGGCAACTTCAAACAGCTCAGATTTTAAATAGAAGTCGTCAAAAAGAAAATGTTTTTTTTTGTTAAACAAACTTTCTATTTCGGGTGTGTTCCATAAGGTAACTGGAAAACTAATTTTACGGAAATGATAAGAAGCGTTATCCATAACAATAACGATCATTTCGTCATGATAATCGCCATCGTTTTTCTTTGCCATAAAATCACACGCAATGACAGGTAAAAATCCAACTTCATACCCTGCATGAAGGATAACAAAACGTTGACCTGTTTGGGTAGGTGCTTTGAGGCCTATAATTAAATGCTTTATAAAAGCATCTTTATGATTTTTTATGGTGTTATCACAACATGCATTGTTAACCGTTTGACCCACGATGGCCTAAGTCTCATCTAAATAGGTAAGGTTAGAATTTTGTAGGCATTATTTTTTGATGGCTCTTAAATACCTGTGCCGCCAATGAATGATGTTGTTTCTAACATTATTTATTTATCATCCTTGTAGATTAGATATTTAATGTCTAGATGCTGACCTATAACATTAATAGAAATAATAAAAAATAGCGGTCAAAGAATGGAACCTTGTGGACCTCCAGAGTATTGTGAGAAATAATGGATTTAAGAGCATTTTGCTTTAACGTATTGCCACCTGTCATGTAAGTACGATGAAAATAATTCCCGCAGGTTAATACGATCGAAAAATATGTGTAAATGACGTCCACCTATCCATTTACATCGAATACCTCACTAAAAAATTGTGACGCCTCAATTAGGTTGGTAACTGTCGATCTACCTCCGACAAAACCATGTTGCTGAAGAATTACGTAATTAGCGAAATGAGCATACAGTTTTCGGTTTATACATATTTCAACATTTTTATTAAAATTACATATAACTGCAATGGGTCGGCAGTTCTCGATTATTGCCCTATTTCCATTTTTAAAAATTGGAATGATTTTAGAAACTTTTCATTTATTATGGCATGTACCTTTACGACCACGTTTGACATATTCAAATCCAATATTATTACCTCGAATAATATTTCAAATTGCATTCAAAGTTGGCGGAATGTTAAAAAATCAGTGTTCACAATTCCTCTGAGTAAGCTCTTAAAACCCTCATCATATGTATATTCGCGGGAATTTGACTGCCTTATCGCTTTTTTTTTCTTGCCGAAGATTTCATTTTGCCATTGATTAGTTCCTCTTCTTTCTTGATAGCATGAACTGTTTTTTACTCACCTCACTCATTTTGGAAGCACGAGTTACTGCTGTGGTCACACTTAATTTATCGTTATTGACCAAATAACAAATCATATTAAAAATCACAATTTTCGCACTCGCATAGACTATTTTTGTATGTGTTTGAATTTCTTAAACTTGTGACTTACCTCACCCAAGTACCTTAATAATTTATTAATTCCATTTTATTAAAGAAAAGTTGCATTCTATTTAAATTCAAATTCCTAAATTTAACAAAAAATCTTTGTTATAAATAAAAGCAATATTTGTGTTCGCAGTGTCTCTAATATTACAGAAAAGATAAAAAGTTATCCCATGAGAATCCGATCCAAAAATCTCCATAAACCTATTTCTTTTCACGAAGTAATAATCATTAAACCACTTAACCCGCTTATCTTTCTAGTCTAGAACTCACCCCCTTCTTCACTGTTGTTAGTCGGCATCCAACATTGGATTAATATAAATCCCACCTCGGTGCTTAGGCACAGAAAGTAGGTAGCACTGTCTTGTTAGCTAGTTTATAAAAATTGTCGTCGGTTTTATCGATGACTGTCATGAGAATGTTTCTAAAATCGCCCCTTACTCGATCAACGTCTGGAACTTGCACTCTGACTGTATCTCCAACGGAACATGGAGGGAATTTTAAATTAGATAAGGCTTTCATCTTCTTTGCTTTATTTTCTAAATTTCTTTTTGCGTCCTGTCTATTTGACTGTATGTTTCTTTGGTAAAAGCAAAGTTCACACATTATACTGGCCAATGTACACAGCTCATCACATTCTGCACATTGGTCTGATTTTCCAAAGTTTCTATATTACTGGCGTTTCCTTTATATTTATTATCCACATTTTCTTATATATTTTTACCTTCAATAATATCTTTGTGCAGGTTGTCACTTTCAGTAATATCTTCTTCTTGCGGGATATCTATTTCTGGGTCATTATCCATAGGCTGGTTCATGTTGTTGAGGCTGTTCACCCACACTAAACTTCCTGACAACCCTCTCAAGCTCTTCTTCGGATCGTAGGTTTTCAATAGTTTCTTTTGGAAAAGCTGAGGTTGATAGGCCGACTTTAATATCATGCCCAAACATGGACAAATCTCAGACCTTCTTACCATCGTCTGCAGTTTTCATCGTTCATCCACGTCATGAGTATATTTTGTATATCTTGATTTGCTCTTTCCACGCTGCCTTGTGACTGACTGTGGCGCGGTTTGCCATGTACTATTTTAAGGCCACTCTACATGAGTAAAGGGGCTATGTTCATTCTGCCTCATTCCCCATGTTAAATCCCATAAGAAATCGCTAAGGTTCATTCTGTCAATTTTTGTCTAAATCAAGGTCACGCGTCGAAGTTCGAAGTCTGGGTTATCAGTAAACATGATAACGTCGAAAATCCAAGATGGCGGTAATAGTTGACGTAAACAATGAAAAATAAGCAAAAAATTCAACCTACCCTCCTCCACCCCCACAACCCCCTCATGCTTATAAAATATGGTCGGTACATGCGATACCTCGTTGGAAAGGCCTTAACGTACAGAGTAAGGGAAAAATAATGAAAAAATGTCAACTGCTCCCTTTCATCCCCGCGAACCACCCCCTCATTGAAAATCGATCAATCATAGTGTGTGATACCTCGTTGGAAAGGTCTTAACGTACAGAGTAAGGGAAAAATAAGCAAAAAATTACACCTACCCTCCTTCACCCCCACGACCCCCCTCATGCTTATAAAATATAAAACATGTGATACGTCGGTCTTAACGTACAGAGTAAGGGAAAAATAATGAAAAAATTAATCTCCTTTGACAGAAAAATCATGCGCAATGCCACAAGGGCCTTAGTACGTATCTTCACTGCTATTGGTCCAATTCAAACGGGAAAAAACGGCATTAAGTAGAGATCGTGGTATAGATTAACGTTGAAGAGAATTTTTGCGTAGAACGAAAAGCCACAAGGGCCTTAGCGAATATCTCAGCTATCGTTGGTCCGATTTAAACGGGAAAAACGGAATTACGTAGAGATCGTAGTATAGATTACCGTCGAATAGAAAAATCATGCGCAGAACGAAAAGCCACAAGGGCCTTAGCAAATATCTCAGCTATCGTTGGTCTGATTTAAACAGGAAAAACGACATTACGTAAAGAATGATGAACATTGAACAGAAAACTCATGTGTAAAGCCAGAAGGGCCTTAGCGTATATCACGTGGTCCGATTTAAGCGGGAAAAACGGCATTACGTAGAGAATGATTAACGTAGAAGAGAATTTTTATGTAAAGCCAGAAAGGCCTTAGCGATTCAAACGGCTACGTGTAGAGAATGACATCTAGTTGTCATTTCGCACATGCGCAGTTCATAATGCCGTTTTCATATCTTTGTTAATATCGATCGGATTTGAACGATGAAAATGGTAGATGACAATGTCATCTAGATGGCATGTGCACATGCGCAGTTCAAGGGTCAGTTCTCGCTTGTCACTTTATATCTTCGTTAATATCCCATCAGATGTCTTGAACGATGATGGCGATCATCGTTCACGTGAACTAACCATATACAAGATGGCGGAGTCAAAAGGACTTGTCAACTGTCAAGTATAACTTCGTTGCTATTGGTCGGAAAGGAATGGGGAAACAAACAGTTGATGTATTCGTTTCGTTTCGTTACGTTTCGTTACGTTTCGTTACATTTCGTTACGTTTCGTTACATTTCGTTACGTTTCGTTACGTTTCGTTACGTTTCGTTACGTTTCGTTACGTTTCGTTTCGTTACGTTTCGTTACGTTTCGTTACGTTTCGTTACGTTTCGTTTCGTTACGTTTCGGTTACGTTTCGTTACGTTTCGTTACGTTTCGTTTCGTTACGTTTCGTTACGTTTCGTCACGTTTCGTCACGTTTCGTCACGTTTCGTCACGTTTCGTCACGTTTCGATACATTTCATTACGTTTCGTTTCGTGGACAAAAGGACCTAAGTCTCGGTGGCATGTCACCAGGTGCAAAATGGTCAA